TGTGCTCTGCACCAGCAACCCCCCAACTTTAAAATCCTTCCTGCCGCTAAACATAGCCAGAGTTCCCAGTGAGACCCACAATGTTTGCCTGTCACCAACCCTTCCAGCCTTCTGCATCTCACATCACCCCTCTCCCCTCTTTCTCTCTGCCCTGTGCCCTCCTGTACCCCACATCTCACCATTCCCCCACCTCGCGTGTCTGCTCTCCTCCGTGCCTTTGCCCTGGCCGTTCCCACCTCTGATGCCCTTCCTGTGTTTCTACAAGACCAGCTCCTCCTCAGTCCTGATGCTCACCTCCCAGCCAGAACTGGTCCCTTCTCTCCTCTGTCCCCCTGGGCTAATGACAGTGCCCTAAATTAGCACTCAGGACAACTTGCTAAATTGGTATGGCTTCCTGCCACCTCTCACCTCCTCCATCACACAGTACACAGGGACTTGTAGCTTTGCATCCTCAGTGCTTAGCACAGTGCCCTGCATTCAATTGATTCTGTAATATATAACAGCCAACATTTCACAGGTGCAGACTATGGACCCGGCACTGCATTGGTGCTTCACATGGATGAATTCATTGAACCTTTACATCAACGGGCAGGGCTGCTGCTGCCCGTTATACAGAGACGCAGCTTTGAGCAGTGAGCAATATGCATGGAGTGAACCTGCTTGTAATGTAGATATCATCCTTATCTTCATCATCATCATCATCAGCCTCATTTTATAAATGAAGAATGAGAGGCACAGAGACCTTCAGTAACTTGCCCAAAGTCACAGAGCTAGGAAATGACAGAGCCGGGATTTGAACCAGCCACCTGACTCTAGATTTGGGGCTCTTAACTACTACTCTGCTATTTCCTACCACATTTGGCTGCCAACATGTGCGTTTTGAATGTTGAGAGGAAAGAACTAATGGACTTAATGCATTTAAGAAGAGAGACAATCAGAATGCATTTCAGGTACAATGTTACGAAAGCGTATGGACATGGATCAAGATGGCGCCCCTTCCAGACTCAACGGTCTGTGATGAATTGGTGTTGCGCCGGCTTCTCTGATTTCCACCCTTCTCCCGCCTGCCCACAGGCTGGAGCACCTCCTGCTGATGTAGCAAGACCGGACCCTGCCACATACTTCCTGTGTGGGATTTGGGGCAAACTTCTTAATCTCGCTGAGCCTCAATGTCCTCATCTGTAAAATGTGGAAAAGTAAAAAGAAAAAGCACCTTCCTCATAGTCTGGTTAAGGATTGAAAGACGTAATGCAAATGAATTGCTTAATACAACGCCACAAACATGGTGAGGGCTCAAGAAATGGCTACAGAAGTCTAATATATTTTTGATAAATATGGTGAAATTTATAGTGTGGACACTGTACCCTTGTCCTACTCTGCCCATGTCCCAGAGGGCTGACTCCTGCAAACTACATTTCCCAGGCTCCCTTGCTAAGGGGTTCTGGCTGGGTTCAGCCAATAGGAGGCACTGATGGGGGACAGAGGGCAGGTGTTTCTTGCTCTGCTTTAGGCAGCATCTTTGCTGTGGCTGTGCCCCCTCCCTGGTCCCAGCCCCAGCCAGGCAGTCCTTGCCAGGGTGCCAGCTCCACGGGGCAGTCTCAGCCTGGGCTCTGAAAATAGTCCCTCCTCCTTTGTCTGCCAGTCCCAGGAAGGGATGCTTCTCCTGTTGCTAAGTCCCATGTGAGTAGGGTTTACCAGAATTAGTAAATAAAAATACAAGAAACCCAGTTAAATTTGCATTTCAGATAAACAACAAATCACTTTTTAGTATAAATATTCCCAAATATTGCATGAGACATATTTACACGCAAAAAAAAATTCACTGTTTATCTGAAATGCAAATTTAACTGCCCGTCCTGTATTTTATCTGGTAACTCTACATGTAAGACTCCTCAACTCTTCCGACACCATTGTACCTCATTCTCCGTATTAAATGTCCTTTATTAAACTTCCTGGAAGGGGTTCTTTTGTTGCTGGATCCTGCTCGATACAAGTGCGGGGTCCAACATGAGCTGATGGCGTATTTCTAGAAGCCTCAAGTTACTCCCTCACCCCAGCCTTCTATTCACCTTCCAGTTCTCGGGAGTTCAAAGAAGAAGAATGTGGAATTCAAAACTAAAATTAATTGAGCATCTCTTCGTGCCAAGTACTGAAAAACTTGGCAGAGATAAAATACTTTGGTATCTTAATTGCTGGCATCGGAGCACCTCTCAGAGAGAAGTTTTATTTAGGAAAATACCTTAACAAGCTACTTGAGGTGGAATCTGAGACCCTGAGGTCGGAGACTGGGACAACAAAGGAAACAGCTAACCTGCTATGCTTAAGAAAATGAAGGAAATCTTTTTTGCTTCTGAGAGAGCAGGGAAGGGATGTTCCAGCTGCTGTGTTGTTGTGCAGCAAAGCCCCCCAAACCTAGTGATGTGAATCCACAGTTTACTATGCTCACGAGTTCTGCAGGTCAGGACTTGGGATGGAGCAGAGCATACGTGGCTCGCATATGCTCCACGAGGTCTGGGCCTCAGCTGTGAAGACTCCCAAGAATGGGTTGTCTCAGCAGCAGGTAGCTGGAAACATCAAAAGGCATTGCACTCGCCAGGTTGATGCGGCCTCAGCTGGGGCTGGTGCCAGAGCATCCGTCACTGCCTCACCGTGTGGTCTGGGCTTCCTCACAGTATGGTGGTCTCAGGGGAGCTGGACTGCTTACAGGTCAGCTCAGGTTTCCAAAAGCAAGAGTCCCAGTGGACGAGGCCGAAGCTGTGTTGTCTTTTGTGACTCAGACTCAGAAACCCCGTAACATTATTTCCTCCGTGTGCTATTTGCATGAAGGAGGCACAGGCCTGCCCAAAACCAAGGGAAGGGGATGGACCCCACCTCTTGACCAGAGTGGGGCAAGGTCACATAGTAGAAGAGCATGTGAGATGGGAGGCATCGTTACAACCATCTTTGGAAAAAAGCACAATCTGCCACAAGAGAGAGAAGAGAGAGAGGAGAAGAGGAGAAGGAAAAAGAGAACCAAAACACTGACATTCAAACGGAACACTATGTGGAGAGAAAGGGAGTGAAAAAAGCCAGGGCACAGGGGCAGGCTAGCCCTACAAACTTAAAAATGGGTTGTTGACTTCATTTGGAAGTTGTACGCGTTGCTGTGAGGTGAATATCGTCCTCTGCCTTCCACGAAATTTAGTCAAGTATCCTGTACACAAAAAGGCCTTGGGCTGGGCTGTGCACATGTGTGTGTGTGTGCGCAAGTGTGTTTCACAGGAAGGGATGGAGTTCCTTGTCTGACTTATCGTACGGTGAATAAAGACGGAATGAAGACCCTTAGACTTAATCCATCCAGCAGAAAGGATAGCAAAATGCTGAGCTCCGAGCCTTGAGCCCAAGTCCCTGTGAACTTGCAAAAACCTGGGTGGGCTTTGGACTCCCATCGAGCGTAGAAAGTGGTGTCAGGCCAATTCGATTTGTTCATTTATTCAGTAAGCTTCGGTTGTGCACCTACCTTGTGCCACAGACAAGGCAAGCAGCGGAGGGAACAACAGTGACCAAGATACCAGGGCCTCGGCCCTCATGGAGCTGACAGTTTAGTAGGAAAAGAGAGGCAATAAACAAGTAAGCAAAAATAAATAAAAATGTCAGGGTTGGCTGACAACCCCAGATCTCAGAGGCTTACCACACTAGAAATGTATTTCCTACTCTCAGAGAAACCCAATGCGGGTGTTTATCAGGTCTTCCTTGATTTGGGGGTGCAGCATCTACTATCACATGACCCCTATCTGATAGGACCCCGTGGTCCTCCCTGGATCCTGCATATATGGCCTTGCAGACAGGCGCTGACAGAGCTTGGAGGACCATGTGGGAGATGCTGTAAGCCAGGCTGGAAAGGGAGGCGTCACTCCCTCTCACGTGCCACTGGCCAGGGCACAGTCACGTGGCCACACCTCACTGCAGGGAAGGCTGGGTGGTGTGGTCCAGCCGTGTGCCCAGGAGGGGGAGGAACATGGCGAACGTTATGAAGGAAAGAAATAAGGGATGGAGACAGGTAGTAGGTGGAGGAACCAGGTCATGCTGAGCTGCCGAGTCAGGCCTGTCCGAGGAGGGGGGACTTGGGCTAAGACTTGAAGGGAGAGCTGCAGCCAGCAATTCACGTGGCTGGGGAAGGGCATCCTGGACAGAAAGGAAAGCTACGACAAATCCCAGAGGCGGGACCTGGCTTGGTGTGTTCCAGGACCTGAAAGTTGGCCCGTGGGAGGATTTGGGGTGAGAGTGCAGAGGCGGGTGGGGGCCAGACCCCTCGGTTCAAGCCGGCCCCTGGAGGGAGCTCATCCTGACTCCGAGTGCTACTGGAAGCCACTGGCAGGGGAGAGCCAGAGTCTGAGCTATGTTTTCAAAGATCTTATCCTCATCCCGAAGGGCGAGGAGACCTTTGCGGGCACCTGAGTTACCTGAGTGAGAGCTGTCCATTTCAACCCTCACCATAGCTTTGGGGAGGAGATGGAGTTGAGCCTTGTGCACGTGAGGAAATGGAGGGTCAGAAGCCCAGTGATTTGTCTGCACTCGCTCACGATCCTGGCATGGCCAGGTCTAGCTCCAAACCCAAGGCCAAAAGAGAAGCCATGGTTGAGAACAGAGGCCAAAACTCCATCAGGATCCCAGGGTAAGGGAGTGCTCAGAGGGCGCTGTGCAAAGGCCATGCCTGGCAGCGTGAGTGCCACACCCCGGGAGCCCACAGTGCACCTTGTCATCCCGAGGGACGGGTCTCCAGTGCCTTCTCCACGAGGGGCTTCTCCCAGCCCTGGGAGTGGGCCCCATGGAAGGAAAAGTCCCGGATGCCTGCGCGGGGTCCGGTGGAAGACTTGGTGACCTTAGGACAAAAAGTCTGTCAGTGATCATCGCAGAGAGGGGTCAAACCCACCGTGATCAGCTGAATAACGGCCCCCTCCCCAAAGATGTCCACATCCTAACCCCAGAACCAGGGAGTATGTTGCCTTACACAGCAAAAGGGATTTTGCAGATGTGATTAAGTTAAGGGTTTGAGATGGGAAGATCATCCTGCACTAGCAGGGTGGGCCCAGTGTAGTCACAAGGGTCCTCATAAGAGGGAGGCAGGAGACGCGGAGTCCGAGACACATGTGACGATGCAGCAATGTGGGGCCCCGAGCCCAGGAAGAACGGGGCAACCTGGGGAAGCTGGAAAGAGCAAGGAATGGATTCTCTCCTAGAGCCTCTGGAAGGAATGCAGTCCTGCCCACACCTTGATTGTAGCCCACAGAGACCTGTTCTGGACTTTGACCCTTAGAACCATGAGATAACAAATTCTTGTTAAATTTGTTGTTGTTTTAAGCCTCTAAGTTTGTGGCAATTTGTTAGAGCAGCCACAGGAAACTATACGCCCATCAACTGAGACGGTGCCGTGGGGACTTGGACAGATTCCAGGACTTCTTTCTGGTTGTTGTTAGCTTCTCTTTTCTGCTTCTGCACAAACATTTTTCAGGAAAACTTTGAATCCAAAAGCCCTGTGGGCTCATCTTGAGATGCCAGAGAATGCTTGTCGGAGTCCCTGACTCTGAGACAGCTTGAGGGCCGGGGTAGAGGTGGTCGCTGAGGTCCAGTGGGAGGGAGGGCGGAGCCTCCAAGTGCCCGGAGGTAGAGAGAAAGGAAAGCCAGTTGCCCCATAGCGAGACTCCTGGGCCAGAGCAACAGACGCCTCCCCTGAAAAGCTCCGCACCACGAGGGCTTTCAGAGGCCCCAGGACTTGGCACCAAAGTCAAGGGGCCCTTCCCACTGCTGGTTTTCAAGACTCTCAAGGAGCTGGGCCCAGGCAGGAGCCCAGCCCTTGACCCTCGGCCACCTTGGCGGAGGTGATGGTTTTGGCCTCCCTGAGGCTGGTGAGCAGCTGGCAGGCTGGAGAGCAGGGCTGCTCAACCAGTAAGGCTCCTGTTTGTCTGGCGTGGCCTTTCGGTGACTTAGCGCCCCTCGGCCTATTTGTGAGGGTGTGCGATATCAGCGTTTAATAAAGGGTAATGAGTAACCAGGATCCTGAGGCCTCCACACCTTGCCTTTTATAAACACAGCTGACTGCCCCCATCTCCCAGGCACTTTGGGCTGGGGGTGAGGACATAGGCCTCCCGTGGGGACAGGGGCCTGAACCTCAGCCCTCCTCACCCGCTAGGGGTCACCCAGCCTCTCTGGAGGCTCCGTGTCTGCCTCTGCCAGGGCCCTGCCTTTGTCACTCAGCAAATGCTGATTAACCACGAACTCTATGGCCTCTGCTGAGGGGCACAGGATACAATGGAAGGAAAGCAGATGGGGTGCCTAATAACTACCCAGTAAATGAGGATTCCGTCCTCCTCAGTCCCCACAGGCGGTGTGAGTTTGCCTTCAGGGGCTCCCAGATCCCCAGGTCCTCTAAGAGAGGTGTTTCTGGTGGGTAAGGGCATCTTTAAGGTGGATGTGGCACAGGGGTTGCCATCCCTGCGGTGTCGTGTTTGGGGTCTGTGCACCCAGGAACCTGTGGCACAGTGCAAGGAGCCCAGGCTCAGGCCTCCCAGCTGTGTGTCCTCAAGCAAGTGACCCAGTGTCTCAAAACCCCAGTCTCCTCCTCTCTAAAATGAGGATCATTAGTCATGGCTCCCAAGGTGGTTAGGAGCGTGGACGAGGTGATTTACAGAACGCTGTGTCCTGCGTTCCAGCACAGAGCAGGTGCCTGGTAGAGGGTGGCTCCCCCTTCTCCCGTCAGCTCCACCCCCTGACCCCACGCCCTCAGCGCCCCAGCAGCAGAAAGCCTCATTCTGTATGGTAGGGAGCTCCCCGTGGATAGAAGATTTCGGGCTTCTACATGTGTGGTAGTAAGAGAAGATGGGCACATACGGGCGTACCAGGGCCTGAGGTCCTCTTGAGCCACCTGTTGCGGGCAGGGCCCTCCAGGGAGGCCAACCATTGAAGAGATGGGGAGCAAGGGTGGGGCGAGAGCAGCAGAGGTGATGGGGTCAAGAGGACATCCCTATTCCTCAGACCTGCCTTCCACCAGGACATGGGGTCTCGGCTGTGCGGCCTTGCCGGAGGCTCCTTCATGGCCAGGGCAAAGGCACAGCTTGTTTTGAGGTCCAGAGAGTTTGACAATGTCAAGGACAGTTCAGAGAGTGTCAGCTGATACAGTCCTAACATGCTAGAGTTGGAAGGAGGCGCAGACACTACTGGGTCCAAACCCCCATTCTACAGATTAGGAAACTGAGACCCCGAGGGGTGGGGATTTGCCCAAGGCCATAGCTGGGAATCCCATCAGGTGTTCGTAACAGGGCAGTGCCCAGAACAGACCTGTGACCTCCACAAGCCACTTCTGACCCTGCAGGCTTCCTCCCAGGGTCTTTGGGCTCCCGGCCAGCCCTGATGGAGAGAAGACCCAGTGCTCTACTCTGGGCACCAGCATCCAGAACATCCCAGAGCATGAACGCAAGTGCAGATGCCTCAGTTCAGCCACCAGGGCCGTGGGCAAGAAAAAGACCCAGTTCCCTCTAGGAAGCTGTGGCAGGGCCACCACGGGGTGGGGGGTCGGGGCAGGAAGTCGAAGGACACTGTGACAGGAAGTGACATACCATTTGAGCTGGGTATTCATAAGATTTGACCTCAGAGAACAAGAAAGGGAACATTAGGTACCATGTGTTGAGATATTGAGTACTTTCTAGAGAGGAGAAAGTACTACATTGCACGAAGGACATTGTGCTCCATCCGTTAAATATATTGTTTCATTTAATTCTTGAATATCTCTTCCTCAGAGAGGCCACCTAGCAAACAGACTTATTCCCTGTTACTCTCCACCTCAGTGCTGAAATTTCCATCCTTTGTTTTTTTGTTGAAGACATTTAGTCATTCATTCAACACATATTATTGGGTACCTACCATCTGCCAGGAAGGAGGATGACATGATGGGAAAAAGTGTTTTTAAAAATCAACTGTCTTTGGGGGCCGGCCCGGTGGCACAAGCGGTTGAGTGCGCGTGCTCCACTGTGGCAGCCCGGGGTTCGCTGGTTCGGATCCCAGGTGTGCACCACCGCTCTGCTTGCCAAGCCATGATGTGGTGGTGTCCCATATAAAGTGGAGGAAGATGGGCATGGATGTTAGCCCAGGGCCAGTCTTCCTCAGCAAGAAAAGAGGAAGATTGGCAGATGTTAGCACAGGGCTGATGTCCTCACAAAAAAAAAAAAAAAAATCAACTGTCTCTGCCATCACAAGGCCTCTAGTCTGGAGGTAGGACGATATATATTAAATAATTATACAAATAGCTCTTGGTTTCCTCCCATTAAACCGTGAGCACAGAAGACCAGAACTGAGTTTGTCCTCCGGGGACGAATGGTACACAGAACTCACGAGTTCCTGAAAGCCAACTGTTGAATACATGGGAATCTCACCGACCAGTTCAACTGCTGGCTGCGTGAAGTCGATGATGGTGGGAGTGTTTACACCACAAAAATCGGCAGATTTTTACTTCTTTTGCAGAGCGTGTTTCCTGGCATGGCCTCTTTCCCTCCACGTTAGGGGGCCCCACACAGCAGCAACTCAGTCACTACGTCGTCAAATGGATGAGCGCTCATACAATCCATTTCTTTGAAAGGAGAGTTGTATTATGTCCACTTTTCAAAGAAGGAAATTGATCTGTAAGAGGTTTAGCAATTTGCACAAAGTCGTACAGCTTGTAAGTGGTGAAGCCGGACTGCAGACTCGGGTCTCCGGCTCCTATACTCTGCTCTCAACCTTCAGTCTGCATGGCCAGGCCTTCCGGGGAAAGAGAATCGTCTACACTGCAGGAAGGAGGAGGGTGCTCAGACACCAGGGGCTGCCTGGTGAGGCCAGGGCAGGGTTTGCGAGAGCCCCGTGCGAGATCAGATCTGGGTTCTGAATGTCGGGAGCAGCTCCCTGAAAGGTGGATACAGAGGATGCTTTGGCCTGTTGCTGGTCACTTCTGTTTCCATAAATAGAAGCGTCCACCCGAGAGGCCCGGAGCCCTTCCCAGGAGGCACGTTTGAAGCCTATTCTGAGGTGAGGTCAGATGATGCACCCGGGGCTGATTGCTTAAACGTGCACTGCTGGCAGAGCTCCCAGACAGACCAGTGTCCTTTAGAAGAAAAGGTAGTTCATTAAGGGCTCTGTGTCACTGGCTTTCGCCTCCTCTGTCAACCTGAGAGCCCTTGAAGGTGCCCACACTGGGGCTTCATTGTCTCGCTGACTCCTGGCTTTATTAGCACTTACCCCACAGCGGGCACTTGGCGGATGTTATGAATGAAGGAGACAGTGTACCTCTGGTGTGAGTTGAACGAATAACACCTTTGTTCACTCTGATTTAAAAGTAACATCAACTTAATACAGTGTTATTTTGGAAAACACAGATAATTATAAGAAAGAAAATAAGAACTATATCCCAGCCACAGAGATAACCGTGCTTATCATTCTGGTGTATTCTTTGAAAAATATGTGTGTGTGTGAGGGTGCACATATATATCTGTGTGTGTGTATTCTTATTGAATCACACCGTACATACACGTTAATATTTTGTCATTTTCACACAGCTCTTTATCAGGAACCATTTCTCATGCTCTTACAGTTTTGTATAATCTTCATTTTATAGCATACCATCATACGGAATTACCAAAATTTATTTAATTGATCCTCTAATTTTTGACATTCGTATTGTTTACTGTTGTTTTTTATTCTTATAAATAACACTGCAGCAACAATTTTTCTTCATAAATCGTTGTCCAGATGTATGATTTGTTTTTGCTTTCCTTTTTTATTATGATCCTCTAGTAGTAGAATTAGAGGGTAAGGAGTTTTAAAAGTAACACATAAGGCTAAATTGATGTCTAGAAAATTTGTTCCAGGACCTTCAAGAACAACGAGTATCAGTGTTTTTAACTTCACAGATTCGATAGCTAACCAGAGTGTGTTTCTTTGATGGCTAGCGGGGGGAACTGCATTTTCCATTTATGGGTGAGCCGTTGACATTCCCTCTTGCTCTGCTCTGTGCTCTGGAGTGGAGGGTGCAGGCCTCCAGCACCAACTCTGGGCGGTCCTGGCGTCCTCTCCTGGAGGCCTATCTAGCCCCGAGGCCCACGTGCAGCAGCTCTTGGCCCCCTGAGCTGCCTGCTCTCGTGGAGGACGATCAGAGCCGCAGAACCAGGATTTTGCCTGGCACCGTGGGCAATGCAGATCCCAGGAGAAGATTGGCACAGGGTGAAGATTTCTGGGAAAAGCCACAACCCAGTGGCCAGTGCCCGAGGCTGACTTGGCACCCTGATGCCCCCCATCCTCAGTGGGAGGCCAGGACGGGGGGAGGCCCAAGGCAGACGTGGAGTGCAGCCTGGCTGGCTCCCTGAGCTGCCTCCCAGCTCACTTGGCTCCCAGCAAGGACCAGCCACCACCACTCCAGGCTGTTTTCCTTGGTGCTGCGGCTTCCTCCTCGGGGAAGGGAGGAAGAGAAGATGAAAAGTAGAAGAGGAAGAGAAAACAGAGATTCCTGCCTCTGGGTCTGGATTAGGAAGGAACTACAATCTGTCTAGATTTTCGCTCAGAATCGCCACTAAAACAGTCAACAATTGCATCTCTGCATCCCAGAGATGAAGGTCGCCAGCACCGTTTCATCCGGGGGAGCAGCTAAGAACTGGGGCTCTGGAGCCAGACTGGGTTCCAGTCCCCACCTGCCACTTAGTACCCACGTGACAGTCACTTCACTTCGCTCAGCCTCCAGGGGTGAGATGAAATAACAAACGCAGCCGAGGACAGAGGGCACACACAGGGAGCCTTCAGCGAGTGTCAGCCGTCACCAAGGACATTGGTTTCCTGTCGCTGCTGGAGCAAAGGATCAGCAATGCAGTGCCTTAAAACAACACAAACTTGGGATCTGACAGTTCTGGGGCTGCAAAGTCCTAAATGGGACTCAGTGGGCTAAAATCAAGGGGTCAGCAGGGCCATGTTCCTTCTGGACGCCCTGGGAAATTGTGTTTCCCTGGCTTTTCCAGCTTCGAGAGTGGGCCTGCATCCCTTGGCTGGTGGCCCCTTCCTCCATGTTCAAAGTCAGCAGTCACATCACTCTGCCATCTGCTCCCGTCAAGACATCTCCTTTTCTGACTCTTCTGCCTCCTTTTTCCATCTTTTAAGGACACTTGTGATCACCTTGGTCTCCCTGGATGATCCAGGACAATCTCCCGATCTTAAAATCCTTAACCTGATCACACCTGCAAAGTTGCTTTTGCCATGTAAAGTCACATATTCACAGGTTCCAGGGATTAGGACATGGCCATCTGTAGGAGCCATTATTCTGCCTCCCACACTGTTACATTTTCACACATATTAACGCCTATTCTTTGCCAGATGTAGTGTCTTATTCTGTACTGGGTAAGATTTAGGTCTATTTTCTCAAGGAACTCACAGGCTAGTGCAGATGACAAATAGGCAAACAAAGAGCAAATTAAAGAGTCTCCGATGTATGGATGTCGTTCCATACAGGGAATGGAGGGACAAAGGAGGAGAAAAGACCTGGGGAAGAAATAATCCCAGGTGGAGGGAGCAGGATAGGCAGAAGCATAAAGGTGAGAAGATGCCAGTTAGAGGCCATGTCAAGGAGTTTACTGTAACTCCAGCTTGGAGCATGTAGACACCTATATACAGTGTGCGTTGAGTCAGGGGCTGAAGGGTCTCCGAGACATGAGCCTAGAGAGGAAAGAAGAAACCAGATCATAGAGAGCATTGTATGTCACGGTAAAGAGCTTGGACTTTATTTAGTAGACGATGGAGAGAAGACAGAAGGTTGAGAGCACTGTGCGACGTGGTTAAATTTGTAGTTTACAATGATAAGATGGAGTGTGGATTGTAAAGGGTGATGCTGCACAGGGGAAACCAGATCTCCATTACCATCCATCCATCCGTGCATTCAACTATCTATCTAACCATTCTTTAATCCATCATCCATCCATCCAATGGTCCATCCATCCATTCGTTAATTCATCCGTAAATACATACATTCACATATATGTTCAATTAATCTATCTCTATCCATTCTTTATCATCCATCCATCTACCCACCCATTAAACTATTTATCTATATATTCTTTAATTCACCCTCCTTCCATCCATCCATCCATCCATCCATTAAATTACTTATGTATCCATTCTTTAATTCATTATCCATCCACCCACCTATCCATCCATCCATCCATCCACCTACCCATCCATCTTCCCATTCATTGACTCTCAGTCCATCTATCCATTCCATAAACACTTATTTAGTACCTATTTCTCTGCCTGGCACTGTGCTCAGAATGCAAAGACATAAAAGGCACAATCTCTGCCTTGAATAGCTCAGCTTCTGGGAGAATTGACAGTTGAATAAAAGCCAACTTCACTAAGTGTGATAAGTATCAATGATAAGTATCAAGATAGCAAAAGGTCTCAGGGGTAGGGAAGGAGATGAAGGAGATGTGGCTGAAGCAGGCACAGTAGAAGGATAGCCTATCCAGCCAGAGTGTGAGATTAGGGAAGACTTCCTGGAAGAGGCAATGCCTAAAATGAGTATTTAAAGTTGAGTAGGAGTTAACAAAGCAAAACAGAAGAAGAGTGGGAAAAGAATTCCAGACAGAGAGGACACTTAAAAGCAAGAACAAGACTGGTGGGTTCTAGAACTCCTCAAGGGACAAAAGCCAACATTAAGCAAGTAGCAGGAATGATTGTCCCTGTGCCCAGTAGAATGTCAGCTTCATGAGGGCAGGAACTTTGCCTTGTTCCATGTCTTATCCCTAGAGACAAGAACAGGGTCTGACACAAAGTAAGTGCACAACTAAGAGTTGTTGAATGAATGAATGATGCATGAATAATGATGAAAAGGAAGTCTGTGCCCTTACGTATGTTTCTAACATCCTTCATTTCTACCATCTGGTTGTTATACTTACTATGATTGATGTTTTCAATGTTAAGTTTGATACAACTTGCATTCTGTTTCAGAACCATGATTCTTGCCTTTGTTTTGAATTATGTTGGCATTTAAATGGACTCAATATTCCTCAGTAGCTTGTTATGGCAGCTCCTCCGTCTTAGTGTCCTGTGTCTTGATTTATCTCTTGGAGGACAAGAACTCATATCAACTGGTTTTTCTCTCATTTTCTTTTACTTTCCC